AAGTCTCTCTACTTTAAGTGAATTTTGAAAGAGTATTTTTCAAGTTTTTAATATTTTCTTTCAAAATAATTTGCTCATTTTTTAAAGACTCATTTTCTTTTTGCATTAACTAAATGTTTTTCAGAAATTGAAGACTCTTTTTGAGTTAAAATCTCATTTTCTTTTTTCATTTTCATGGCTTCATTTTCTAAAACATTTATCTTGGAAGTTAATGATTCATTTTCTTTTGATAAACTTGAAATCACTTTCTTTTGACAATTACTTTTCAAACTAAGTTTCTTAAATTCAGCATGTAATTCATCAAAAGCTAAATGTAATTCATCAAATGTAAAGGATTCGTCATTTATCTTATTTTCATTTCCAAGTGCCATTAAGCATAGGTTAGCAACCTCATTTTTGCAAACTTCGGTTTCTGTGTCGGTTTTATCGCTATCTTCTCCTCATGCTGCAATCATAGCTTTCTTCTTGTCCTTCTTGAATTTTTTCTTAAGTTTCGGACATTCTGATTTGTAGTGTCTAGGTTTGTTGCATTCGTAGCAGGTAACTTTAGATTTTTTGTGATTTTCTCCTTTTTGAAAATCCTTGTTGTTGAAGTCTTTTCTGAAAAAATTTCGTACGCCTTATTTCTTTCTCACAAACCTTTGGAATTTTCTAGTGATGAATGTCATTTCCTCATCCTTATCCGAATCATCTTCCTCGTCCTCTTAATGTTTCGAGGTGGATTTAAAGGCTATTCCTTCTTCTTCTTGTTGTCCTCTTCTTCCTTTCCTTCTTGCATTATGAGCTCATGAGTTAAGAGAGATCCCATTAATTCATCTAGACTTAGCTTTGATAAATCCTTGGCTTCGGTAATGGCAATGACTTTTGTCTCCCAACTTTTTGGTAATGACCTAAGCACTTTTCTTACAATTTCAACATTAGTATATATTTTTCCAAGAGAAGTTAAACCATTAATAATATCAGTAATGCAAGTAAACATTTGAGGAATAGTCTCATCAGGCTTCATTTTAAAGAGTTCATAATTATAGACTAATAAACTGGCTCTAGATTCTTTAACTTGTTCGGTTCCCTCATGAGTCACTACAAGCTTGTCCCAAATTTTTTTTGCGACTTTACATGTGAAAATTTTGTTGAACTCGTTGGCATCTAAGGCGTAGTACAACATGTTTGTGGCTTTGACATTAATTTGGGCCATTCTAATATTTGATTCATTCCACTTATCTTCAGGTTTTGGTAACCTAAGTCCATCTACGGTTTTGGTAGGAATTTTTGGACCATTGTAAATAATTTTCCAACATTTATAATCATTGATTGAACATGTATGGTCATCCTAGTTTGCCAATAGCTAAAATTTGTGTCGCTAAATAGGGTGGCCTATTGGATACTTGTCCTTCAGGTAAGGAATAACTAGAGGTTGCCATGATCTACTCTAAGACGGTTAAGTCACACAAACTAGAGTCTAGGCTCTGATACCAATTGTTATCCCAAGCAGGCAACCCAAAAGGGGGGTGAATTGGGTTATTTAAAATTTTACAATATTAAAATTAACACAATATTCAGAATTTTAACAAATAAAAAAAAACAGAATAATAATTATCAATATAAAAGTAAGAGGGATAGGGAGAGAAAATCAAATACTGAGATTTATAGTGGTTCGGCACGCTAGGCCTACGTCCACTCCCCAAGGGACTTCCTTGAGAATTTATTTACTCTCAATTGAATAAATACACCATCAAGCTTGTGGATTTGGCACAGGACTTATTCTTATCTATTGAGTCTCACTCAACAATAAATGTCTTATCCTTACAAAATCTCTCACAGAAATAATAAATAAAAATAAGTGATACTTAAACCATCTTTTACAATAATTCTCTCACAAAGAGTAGATATGAAAGTGTAAGAACAAATGCTACATTTAGATCTGAAAGTGAAAAAGCAGAATACAATATACTCAGAATTTTGGAGCACACAGAAATTTTTCTCTTTAAGTTCTTGATTTTTCTCCACATACAACACTTTTGTTTATACTCAAAAATATACCCGTTGGAAGTAAGACACTCCTTGCTGACGTCATGGCTTATATAAGCACGCTCCTTGATTTTAAATAGTCAACAAATGTTAATAATTAAAAAGATAAAAATAAGATTAATTTTTTCTTTTCTTTTTTTGTTTTTTCAAGCATGGAGCCACCGTTTTTGTAGACAATTTAATACAAAGTTCACAACTTTCAAACAAGCAAATGATTTGCTCCATCTTGTTTTATTATAATATATATATATATATATACATTTAACAAATATATATATATATTAAACAGATAATATTTTGTGTCAAATAATATGTATATTAAAAAATCTAAATTTTTACAAATAATATTTTAGACATCATCAAAATTAAATAATATGATTAACATCAACAATATTTTCATATTCAGTTCTATTATAGGTATTAATTTGAAATACCATAATATCTTATGTACCATAAAATAGCTTAGGAATGGAGTTATCTCCTGGACTATTCATTCCATCATTGTTTATGAAAGATATAGTTTCTAATTTTGTCACCAAATTGTTTATTTGATTTTTTGCTTCTTTATTTAAAGTCAATATTTATTATAGAACCCAAATTGTCTATTTTAGATTTTATAGACTCAACTTTGGTTTCTAGATAATTTTGATTTATTTTTTTATTTTTATCTAATTTAGAAAAACCAAGAACACATAATATCCATAATATTATTTAAACTGGAACACAAACTATTTATATTTGCAGACTCTTTAGTAATATGCAAACTATGGTCATATTTATTATTAATAATATTTTTGTATTTTCAAAGTATATTATATCTTCAGGGTTAATTGCCATTATAGATTATTGTTGGTACCTAAGACCCTCCTAGTGTATTTATCCGGTGCTTAAAACCTCTTTTTATAATCTTAAAAACTTAATTATGACCAATAATCAAAAGATCTTAATGAGTATATAAGCTTTGACATACACTAAGCATATAGGTTTTACAACAACTATAAATGAAACAAATAATTATGAAAATATAAAATACAAAAGATACACAATTAATTGCTAAACTTGACGAAGAAATATTTTTTTATTACATAGAGCACACCATACACAATTATATATATCAAAAATTTATATGTAGAGAAAAATACTTACATAGCTTGATCTTACTTTCAAAAGCTCTTCACCAAGCTTTAATACCAATCACAAAACAAAAAAGAAAGGAGCTTCTTACTATTTTTATTATGGAATTATGATGGAATTATGGTGTTAAAAAAAGTTAGAAGTTAGAGACGAAGTGGGCAACCAAAGATGAAGAGAATTTACATTGTTTATTATGTTGGCTTGAAAGCCAATTTATAGACTACTTCTTACATATACAAACAAAAAAGTCATCAAGCCTAACCGTAGGCTTTCTTGATTTTCCAAAGGCTAGAAGAAAAAAAGTCCTAACATAATAAATACATTAGATACAAAAAGTCCAAACAACAATAATTATAAGGATGTTTTAGTTCATATCTTCTGACAATCTGTTACATTTCGACAATTATATACACTTCTACAATTATATACATTGTCTAGATTTGACACAGGGTATAACAATGTTAAAATTCAACATTTTATATAGCTAGTCATTGAAGACAGAAAAGTTAAGCTTTATGTTATTTTTTAACTCATATCAATTAGACAAACTTTAAATTACTTGAGTTAGACAAACTTGAAAATTTATTGAGTTTTATGTGTTCAAACTTGATAAGTTTATATAATGAATTAATTTCAAACAAATATTTAACGAATCGGATATAAGTTGAGCTTGAGTCACATGTATTTTTCTAAATTTTTTTTGGCAGCCATCATGGTGAGTTCTACAATGGCAAGTTGATTGGCAGGCTATTCAAGTATTACACACGCTAATTTTTATGGATAAATATATATAATAATTTATTTTGATTTGCCGCGTAAAGGCATGACTTTGATGACACAAAATAAAAGACTTTTTCTTGTAATTGATAATGCCAACCATGTAGCTCTTTAACGGTCAATCAATGTTCTAAAAGAATTATATTACTTTTTAAATTTATTTTATTATTATATGAGAAATTGTTGAAAATAATGATCTCTTCCAAAGTTGACATCAAAAGGGTACTTTGTTTTCAACTCTTCTAATATTTATTTTGCAACAATTTGTAGGCTATAAAAATGGCAACAACTTGAAGAGTGAAATAAATAAATATAATGTACTTGAGATTGGTTATATTGCAGTTCATATGAGTCTGACCATACTTAGAAAAGTACTTGTTTTCTACGGGAGGGTCGCAAATGAAAGCCTCGTTTGACAACTACATGTTTTTATTAAAATTTAAAAAATCACTATAAATTGTCATATCATTCTCTTTATTTTTCTATACATCTTTTCGTAAAAAGTTAAAATATTATTAAAATAATTTATTCTCAAACGAGACCAAAGTGTGGTAATCATGGTGTAACCTCAAACATAGTAAAATCACATTATCGAATCCATGTTAACTCTTACAAGGTGAAATTACCCTAGGGGTAAATGTTGAATACCTGTAACCATTCGCAAGCTACAGTTACCTATCGAGTAAGAGTAGACGATTTCAAATAATCAAACGACTTCCAGACTTATGATTGGTCTCAAACTTTCCTAATTTGGTGAGTTTATTTCAGATTCATACATCTTAAGGACAAGGCTGTATAGAAACAAGAATAGCTCAGCGTGTTTCTGAGAATGTGCATAATTTGGGCTACTTAAAAGCCCCCCAAAGCAGCAACCAAACAACAGACTGAACTTGCTAATGATGAGTCCAAAACATTTTCTACTTTGGTGTGTTTATTTCACATCCCATAAACAACAAATTAAATGCGGGCTTCTCAATAACAATTGGAACTACATAGCAACTTTCAAAATTTGATCAGGAAAACTCAGCACAGATTACCTAGCTCAGTCAATCAGCAGTAGAAGATACAGAATTTGATATTTCAAATAAAATCAATCCACACTACTTTCATTGTTGCAGGTTTATTAGCTGGAATTAATTACTTATATTAAAAAAAGAACAATTTGAAGAAATAAATTTTCCCTTGATTCAGCTCTCCCATTCAACTCAAAAAAAAAAAAACCAAAAACCAAAAACCAAAAAACCAGAAAAACACACCCAAAAAAAACAAACAAAAAAGGAAAGAAAGAATGAGATTGGATGACCAAGAAAGAACACAACATTTTGCTGTCAAAAGAGAGAGAATTGAAAATTTCCCTATAACAGAGGATCTTGATCTTGTGTATGTTTCATGGCAAATCAAGCAAAGATTTCCACAGGAGGGAAGAGGTGATCAAAAGGGAGGAGCTCAGTAAGCAAAATTAACCAAGATAGTTTGAACGTGAGAAAATAATATTAGCTTTCATCCAGGGCATCATCACCACCACCTCTTTCAAGTATAAAACTAGATCACCTGTTGCTCATCCTCGGCCAAGTCCTCACCAAATCCACGTTGTGCAATTCTGTAGTAAAGAATACCCATCGTAGCCATGCATGCCCTGCACGTAATAATTAAGAAGCCGCATTAGTGAAAACAGACTCTTTCATCTTGGCAAAGTAAAACACCAATAAACAAGAAGTCATGCTCTAACGCAGACATCATTTCTAATTTTAACTTCTTTTGTTATTATTATTATTTTTTTTTCCTTTTTTTTCATTTAGTCTGTTATATGGGAAAAACAAGTAAATAGATGGCAAAAACGGAATTATAATACGAGATGAGCAAGCAAGCGTTACATGATGGCTATGATGAGAAGGATTTTTCTTGGATCCATCCTTGAAGATCTTTGATGCCGCACACGACCCTGTGGGACATCATCTGCATTTGATGCATCTTTTCGTGGAGGTGCTGTTACTGGTAGAGTTGGTAATGCACTGGACCAGAAAGGTAGCAATGCCCTGAGAAACTTATTACGCAAAGTACCTATAATAGACATCACCAAAACTTTTAATTCTAAAGTTCTCAATAAAAATAAAAATAAAAATAAAAATAGCAGTTTGGTAAATAGGGTAATTAAATTATTCAATATTCATCCACAATAAGCCTAAATCATCCTATGGAAATGTATTCCGAAGTATGCAATCAACAAGACCATTTATCCACAACGTAGCAATTCAAGTGGAAGAAAATACACTCACCCCTTCGTGAGTACTTCTTCCAATTCCCATCTTCATCATCAGCATAATATGAAGTTTCAGAATTTTGTGGGTCAACTTGGAATGCACTCTTCCGCGTAGTAGCACCAGGCTGTGTTTTGTTGCAATATACACCAAAATTAATGAGAAACCAAACTAATAGGAGAAAATACACCAGGCACTACGTGCACAAAGACAATAAACACATTGACTAACATATTCCCATTTATGTTCAATAATCAAGAGAAAAAAATCCTCTTACACCAGCAGGACTTGCACTTTTCATGAAATTGGAGTGCTGATTAGATAGAGATGGATTCGCTGAACTAGGGCCATCAATCTCCACAATATCATTAGAGCCCATTCCGGTTGCAGCTGCGTATCCTGCGACATCTTTTCCTATCATTGATGAGCTGCCTTCAGTAGAAGTTGCATGCATCAGCGGATCTGAGGCAAAAGCAGGAGGAGGGGTACGGGATTCTGTTGCCGGCAAGGAAACTGGATGATTTCCAAACAAATTCTTTTCTAGACCAGTCTGCACAACAGTTGAGTCATCAAAAACATGACATAAGGAGATCAAAAATCTGGCTTTCATGTAAAGAATCAACGAATAAAACAACAATACCACATAATTTCATTACAGGATGAACATAGAAATTTCATTCTTGCATTAGGTGTATACATTTTGTCCACGCTGATGATTTTTAGACAAATAAATAACTCCATTCAACAGAGTGTCCCTCTCAATTATTTGGAGCCTGCTATATGATTACTCATTTGCCATCCCATTCTATCAAGGGCCATACCACCGATTAAAACATACATTGCAATGTCGTTCCTTGTTACCTCAGTAATTACATGTGTTAACAATTAAGCTCATGATTAACAATTAATATACAAGTGGAGCTAAAGAAGAGTTAGCTACCTTCAATAGAGAAGCAATAAAAACTAGGTCCATTCGAAAATAGAATGGAACAAATTACACTTGAGTTCAGATCCCACTTCGAATTTACTACAGATTTCCTAGGCTAGAAGTTGCTCTTGTTTATAATTTTTACTTGGAGATGTTTTGAAAAATGAGGAAACACTGAAGAGGACTGGAAAACAATGAAGAAAATGTGACAGTTCTTTGGTTCATGTTGAATAAGACCCTGCATGCCCCTAAGCCTTCATACAGTTATCACAGTTAATTAGCAGCACCACTTACAATTAAAATAAAACAATATCAAGACTGCCAACTGCAAGAAATATGACTAAGTGGCCAACGGGCAAATGTTGACATTAAGATTCGTTATATAAAATTATCATTAGACATTTTATGTTGCATAAGTTACGTAATTCAATGGCACAAAAATTATCTAAACAAAATAATAATAAATTAGAGCCAGTCAGATTGTCATAAAGCAACTATTTCTTTGTGATTAATTAAAAACAAAAATGGACCCTACCTGCATGATTGCTTCCTTTAGCTTTGAATGAAGTCGAGATCCAGAATCTTTAATACTTTTTGGAGGCCATATCTGCAACAATGAAGCATGGCCAGAAATGAACCATGTTTGAAACAAACACAACCCAAAAGAGTCGTAATAACAAAACCACAATCACATATATGTATTTTGATTCAATCAAGGATTCTTGATATCCCCAATAGATTTTAAAAGAAAGTATTTTTATTTTTTAATACCAAGGGCTATATCTTCCTAACAGATTTTAAAAGGAATTGATCGTAGTGAAGCCATCGTAATTCATAATTGATCATGAAGGGGCAGAATTGCCACACTTTCATAGATATATTGATAATAGTACACAGATATTTATTTTTTTTACTAAATAGCTTTCATTATTGACTAAAAGAAAACTTTTGTAAAACTTATTTTGCTCTAGTAGATTTTATAGAACTCAGTTTTGGTGAAGGTTTTCTCCTGAGGCAATATGTGATGAACTACTTTTCATACGCAGCTCACATATGTTGACTACTCTCAAGGTTAGTGTCTCACCTCCTTTTCATGTTGTTCCACGCCGAAAGAAAACCTATTACATACTGCCATATGTAGCTAGAAAATCTGATGTCATTGCGTAAATGAGACGCACGCAAAGGATGTTTACCATTTTACAATTTTTTTCCATACACGAGGGTTTGCTCAAGTTGGTTCATTTTAAAGCAATACCTCTACCCAATATGGAACCGAAGGAAATCAATTCTACACATTGTAGACCCAATTCAGTTATGTACCCCTACAATTTAGTATATATGGGATTTGAAACCCATTTATATATACCTGTTAGAATAGTTATTTTTTGTTTTACTGTTCTTCTGTTAATATTTACTTAAGTTGAGGGTATGATGGTCATTTCATTATGTTAGGGTTTGTATATATATTTTGCTAATGTAGAGTGAACTTTTTACTTCAGATATATATATATATAATTACTCCTTCTTCTTCCTCTAAACCTATAAACCCTAACACTAAATTTCTTCATTATACATTCTAACTTGGTATCAAAGCAATCTATTCTTCATTGAGAAGTGTTCTACAGATTCTGGAGATCAATGGGAGGTGACCGCGATGTGCTGACGTCGTCATCCGTACGATGACGTCAGCATGACATCAGCACTGCACGGACGAAACCTATACCACTAGGGTCGAAAATCTCTCCTGAGATTTATGGTATTTTTGTGGAATTTTTTATCATCCCTGCTGTGTGTTTTCTATTTTCGAATGTTTTTCGTATTTTTTTATGCCTATCGTTGAATCTGGATCTGGGATTTGTTTTTGCTGAATCTTCATGCTGAAATCAACACTATAAGGGCCAAAAATCCTAACCCTAGTGATATTTGGTGTTAATTTGTTGTTCTAATGCTGTTGGGTGAGTATTTGGTTCGAATTTATGCTCCTATCTGTTCAGCAAACTCTATATCCATCCAGTAGGCTATTTTTTTTCATGTCTACCTATTGAAATTGACTATATAGGGGCTGAAATCCTTCACTAGGGGGTGGTTGTGTTGGTTCAATTTGGTATCACAATTTGGGTCTAAATCTGTTTGGTAGATTTGTGTCTCGTTGTGGAGTATTTTGTGTGATTGATTATCATGGCCAAGATTGAGGCTAAGGCTATGGCTGTGGGTAAAGATGATGATATGCTTAAATCTATCACTACAAAGAAATTGAATGGTGCCAACTACTTGGCTTGGGCTCATGCAGCCAAAATTTTCTTGCGTGGCAAGAAGAAGTCTTGCTTCCTTAACGAACTCCCTCCTGCCACTGATGATAAAACTTATGATGATTGGTGTAGTGAGAATTCTTGTATTATAGGTTGGATTTGGCATAGTTTGGAACCACATGTTGCCCGTACCGTAGAATTTTGTGATACCTCTAAGGAAATATAGGACTCCCTTGCTGAATCTTTTTCGAATCAAAGTAATGTCTTTCGGATCTATGAGTTATATGAGCAAATCTTTGCTATGCATCAATCTGGCCGGTCCCTTCCTGAGTATTATAGTAGTCTCAAGACATTGTGGGATCAATTATTGCAGCATCGACCTTTCACTACGAATGTGAACAAACAAAAGCAACATTGGGAGGAGTTTATGTTAGTTTCTTTACTACCCACAACATTAAATGGAACTTTTCATACATATATGTGTGTAATATCTATATGTAATACCATATATCTTTTAAGGCCTATGGGAATTTTCCATTATAGCAAAATTATTCAAACTTGAAATTAAAAGAAACGTGAAATCGAATGAAGTAATTACATAATTGAATAGTTATTAATAAACACAAGTACACCATAGAACTTCAACAACTATTTTTCCTTGAAAAGAAAACAGAAAACCTGTTTAGACAATTACACATACATGGTTTCTATGGAATGAAATATCATGTCCAAAAAATTATATCTCATCAATCTTCATTTCATTGTTAGATTTCAAGAAATGAAACTTCCATACTCAACTTCTCATGAAAATGAGCATGATGGTAAATTGTATTCATCACTTATTAGAAAATTTTCACATACTTTCTACTTTTCCGAAATTACATTGAGAGTGGAAATGCATCGTAAACTAAACATCCATTCTTGTGAATTCATTAATTCTAATTTTAAACTGATATAATAATAGAATGTGTCTTTTGATACAAAATACAATATGCAACACAAGAAGGAAACATTGAATCAAAACACATCATGGTTCAAAATTTTATAACTACGCTTACAAAATTAGTACTAAAAGATTAGTTATTTGGTTGAGAAGATCATGTCAGTTTGGTTCCCAAGATTAGTGAGCCGGATCACAAGAAAGCTGGTTAGATGACAACAAAACAAACCCAAACAGAGTTCCACCTCTAACTTATTGGACTTGTATCTATGATCTATGCTATAATTACTAGAGCAAAAAGTCATAACTATCAAAAATTACATTTATCTTATTACAAGCAAAGGGGTCTAGAAAAATATGAAGACAATACACTTTTTTTCTTGAAATCAACCATAAGGAAGCTACAATAAATCAATAATTACAAGGTCAATCACTCTTCAGCCAGAATCTTATAAATGAGAAAACAAAGCATGATTCTCGGGTAGAAAAATACAAAAGAAGTATATACTCTGAACCTAACATCATAGACTCACGCTCCACGTGCTTCATGTTTCCAATTTCAAAGCATCATGAAAAAAGCTCTACAACTAAAGCATTGAATGAACACCTCTCTAACTTAAGGTTCAGAAACATTAAAATGCATGCAAATACACAAGTCCATACCATTGGTTCTTCTACAAACTGGAGTAAAACATCACAACGTTCAATGATCAACACTTTGCGAAATACCATTAAACCTCCTTTCATATTCAAAGCTTCCTCTCTTCTAAGCAATAGACATTGGTATGGATTAAGCCATTTAATTTATGAAATCTATAAGACACCGTGCTTGAAGTTAAGATTCCAAGGTTATCCTTAATTAATGAACTGATCACATATTCTGTGGTGCCTTCCATTGCACTTCAACATTTTTTAGTAGTTGCCCATGCAAATTTATCTCCAAGAGTGCATCTTGATTTGCAAGTTCTTTTCCTTGAAGTGCCATTAGCCGAATATCAACAATCAAATGTCCATTTGCTAACAGCAATATGTAAAAACCAACATGTTTTTGTGTATATACTATTTAGCAATATGGAACACTAGAAAGCAATAAGACTTTTCTTTTTGGTAATTAAAGTGGTACCACTGTATGCTACGATGAGTTAATTAAAGCAAACAAAATAAACCAATGGATATATAAATGAAACGTTGGTCAACTTATGGAAACAAATCATACCGGGACAGAACAGGCAGGACAGACATATCCTGCTGGAGCAGTATGCGGAGGAAAACCTTTAATATGTGAAACCAAGCAATTTGTATGTATAATATCTAAAATCAGCAAATAAGAGGAAACAAGGTATTCAGTATAAGTTCAGCCAGGTTGCATGTAAAGAGAAAATTTGCATGTATGAAGTTTGACAATATGCGGCATGATCACATACGCAAGCAACCCAATCGAGTAGTTTGAGGATCGATCCCCTCTTCAATCACAGCATGACATAGGCAGCATTTAGGAGGCCAATCATACTCTCCATCTATTACCCATTCCGAGTAAGTTTGGACCTACAAAGGGAAAAAACAAATATAGCATAAGCCTCAAAGTACCCTCAGAGAGACATAAATACAAATACAGAGACATCTTATCAAGCAAGAAAAATAAAAAATAAAAAACAAATACATATTTCCTACTCCTATAGGAAAGCAAACTAGCCCCACACATATAACATAAGCAGTTACAAGAAGATGCTACAATTATCAGAGAAAACTTAGTAGTTACAACAGCACTATAATAAAGGTATGGCAGAGGAAGTAAAATTGATAGTCTCTATGACCACAGTCAATTACAAATCCATTCCCCTTAATATGTAGTAGGCATCTGATTGCCAATGAAAAATATAATGCACAGACAGCTAGACTGAATTTAATGAGATTATCACGGCCTGTGAGGGACATTTGAATGAAGAAAAAGATAATAAAGCATTAAAGCAATTCAACAGATTAACAATGGTTCGTATTCCAAACTGTCTTTATCTTAGATTAATCCCAAACAAGTATCACCAAGAGAATAAAGGAATCCCTGTAATACATAAGAAAATGTAGAGTAGGGACAGCACAAAATCGACATCTATATTTTATGAACTTTTGTGGTTAAAAGAAGGTTTTCAAAGTTTTCTTTGAATGATTGCTTCGGTCTATGTTGTCTCTTGTGACTAAATCTCTGCAGTTCATAATTTTGACACTCCTATTCATATACTCTAAAACAAAATATAAAGCATTATTCATCACCGAATTAGAACTTTAATGTAAAATGACAATGAGAAGAAGAACAACTAAATATCAAATCAACCAACAAGTGAGCCTATGGAAAAATTCCTGTCCCAATAGCCGGCATACATGATATAAATGAATGAACATAACTTCCAACATATCATACCACGCATATTTGATGCTCAGGGAAACACATGCATTCTCCACAAACAGGAACCTTGTGTACAAAACAGTACAACTTCGTCGCCTGAAACAAAATGACATGTGTCAATATTCAAAAGCAAGCTCATGACATCAATTCAGAACTATCAATTCCATAAACTATTTGGGAGCCAAAAAGCCAAAAAAATCAATACAAGTTATCAAATCATTTTGGCTACATTTTTTTTTTTTTAAAACGTCACTATAAAAAAGCTAATTCCCAAACGAGACAGGTAGGAATTAGCTATAAGCAGTATAAGCAGCAACAAGGATGGTAAACAGAAATTATTTAAGATTTATTAAGATAATAAATCTAAAATTTATATAAAGATCCGTTGTTTGACTTTCTTTCCATTTTTCATTGTGTCTAATCCACCTAGATTAATTTGCTGAAGCTCTGGCAAACAACAAAAATAACACAAATGAAAATACAAATTGAATCACAAAACTCAGAGATCACTCAGATTTCAAATTTGCGAGCTCGATCCGATCCAAGCCCTATATCACTAAGACGAATAAATTGCAAATCTCAACATCACCACCGAGTTAAGTTCATAGCAACATCAGGTCTCGAATTGAAGAACAATGTAATCATATAGTGATCTACAACCATATACATTTGCAAAATGTGTAGAGAGAGAAAGAGCTAGAGGCGTACCTTGCGGCATTTGCAGACCACCATGGCTGTGGCCTCACAATTGATGAACTTGAGATTGAAATAAATAAATTAATTAATTAATTAAATTGAATCAGAAGGTGACAAGAAGGTTTGAATGAGAGAGAAAACAGAGTAGATTTGTGGTGAATTTCTAGGGTTTTAGGGGATCAATAAGAGAGATTTGTAGTGTGTATGAGAAGGTATATCAGTCAGTCATAGGATGTTGGTGTGAATTTTTATGTGTGAGTTGGGGGCTTTTGTTTTTCGCCATTGTTGCTTTTCTTGTGATGCGGATGAAATGAATCAAGTAAACAGAATGGAACACTCTCTACCTTCCTTCGGATTTGAAACGGTGACAGGTCCGTTTCGGTTTCGGAAATCGGAAGTTACCGTGATCGTTTACGGGCTGGAAGCCTCTGATGAGTCTGGGCTTGGACTTGAGCATTGAATATTAGGGTGGGCATCAACAGGCTCACCTAGCCCGTCTAATCCAGTCTTAATTTTTTAGAATTTGAGAAGATTGTTTTAGTTCATAGAGTGGACTTGGGTTAACATTTTCAGCCTAATATATTACTAGGCTGAATTTAGAATTTATATTTTCAACTCAGCCCAACTTACCTCGAAACGTTATTAATTAGCTAATTAAAAAATATATATATTTTTTAGGTTTGTGATTGAATTTATTTAATATATTCTTTAATTTATAATGATATCAATATATTTATTTAATTATATATAATGCGTATTGAATTTAATTATGAAATGTTTTAAATTTTTTTTAACATATAACCTAATAAGTGGGTTTGAGATTTATAATTATTTTTTTAAACCAAACTTGAGAAAATGTAAAGGCTTCATATTAGGATCAGGTGGGACTTAAGTAACCACAAATTATGCATTGTCGGCTTGGCCCGAAGGTACCGACCCGATATATGCACACCCCTAATTGAATAGTAATTGGCTCAGCTTCAAATGGGCTTAGATCAATGGGCTTAGATCTTGGTTAATTGAATAGTAATAGGCTCACCTTCAAATGGGCTTAGATCTTGGTTAGTTAGGAAAGGTACTTCGGCCTACAAATTGGGCCCACCGCACGCTATTTAGGCCTCTGAATTTTATCGTAAAAGTTAAAATATTAAAAAGTTAATAAACTTTGAATAAATTATATTTTACCTCTTTTATCTTTAATCACTTTTTCATTTGGCCTTTAAAAATTTTTTTCCTACTTTAGTCTTTTATATTTTGATTTTTTCTCTATTTATTCTTAAAATTAATTTATGTTCAAAATTAAGTAGAAAATGCCATAATAACTAACAGATAATAATATATTATATTAAAGTTTAAGCTTATGTTAAATATGTAAGTTATATATAATAAAATATTTGTATACCGTGTAACTGTTAATGTGTCATTTTTTGTCTAATTTTTAATAAAAATTAATTTTATGAGTAAATTGAAAAAAAATGAAAAATAAAAGACCAAAGTGAAAAAAAAAAAAAAACTTTAAGGGTCAAAACAGAGTGACCGATATCCAAAAAAAATTAAAATTTTCATTTTCTCTCTATATTTTATACTTTTTTCCGTAAAAATTCAAAACCATTCCAAACCTGTTACTGTTTTTTATTATTAATGTATGCAATATATATATATATATATATATGCAAATTATTAGTGTTTTGGGTATTTGGAATTATCTAAATAAATATATTTTTTCAATTTTTATAAAAAATATGAAATATAGGTTGAGTTTAAAGTAATGTGATAAGAAAGTGATAAGATCCAAATAAAATGATTGTGACCAAAATAAAATTGTCACGACCCAAACCCGCCCCTATGGGTTTAGCACCCTAACCGGCCAGTAATCCGAGATTACTGAAGGCCTGCTTAACAGTAAAACAGTAATACAGAGTGTAGGGGCTGGCGAAAGCCAAAACAGTAATTAAAAGATGTCCAATGAGTTGTGACAGTCTGTATGCAAAAAGACTTTTCATACATATACACATTCAAACCATAACAGTATGTACATATATCATATACAGGTATTCAGGTTATGGACCAAATCCCGAATTAACAGTACAGTAACAGTCTATACAGCCTATACATAACAGAGACAGATAGGGTGAATCTGAGACACCCCAAAAGCAACCTTAGCTTGAACAGATCTGGAACCTTGAAGTGAAGCACAAAAGTTGGCTTGACAAAATGAGGCTTAGCGTGACGCTTCTAGCAACGGTCCAGTGCCTGAACACCTACATATATATATGAGCAATGAGCTAAAGCCCAGTGAATAACATATGCGTAAAGGGGTTAAGAATGAATGTCCTTTCAATATTGAAAACAGTCATTTATCAGTATATCAGTCATTCAGTTTGTGGCTCATATTTCATGCCATAGCAGTCATTCAAAAACTATAATAGTCATATGTGGTACATCCAATAGCAAAACAGTATAGTAGGTCTTAACAGACCGAACAGTCTGTTGATGGCCATCATATCAGTAAACAGTAGTGGTTCCAAACATGGGAAGCGACAGAGATTTCTATGACAGTAGCAGTACAGTACAGTAACAGTAAATTGCTATGGATACCACGAATACAGTTCGCAAATAGGACAAGCATTCATTCAGTAAGAAATATCATTTCAGAAAGCAGTACAGTTGATCATTAAGAAAATATTCATGATTGAACATATCTTTACAACATTGTTACTCACAGAGTTCTGGGCTACAGATAAGCTAGTGCGCGTCCTCGGATGCCTGCCCTACACAGTTACAGAATGAACACACACTAAGTCACATACTTGGGAATCGAAGACTTAGTCCCTACTTAGACCCGGTGTGGTTCTACATCAATATCCTCATTAAGATATCTTAAACTAGGCCTAGGAATGCCTAGGATGGAATGATGATGCAAATATGCACTTTTAAAAGCTTTTCAGAATTTTCAGAAAATAGGGGTCCCGCTCGAGCGTGGGTTTCCCCGCTCGAGCGAACATGCAGGCAAAAGGGCTCCGCTCAAGCATGGTTTCCCCCGCTCGAGCGGACTGTAAAATCATGCAAAAGTACTGGATGCATGCAATTCACGCTCGACGAATGCTCGAGCGTGAGACACAAGTCCTCGCTCGAGCGTGCATTCCCTCACTCGAGCGGACTGTAAACATGGGCAAAGTACTGGATACACGCATTTCCCGCTCGAGCGTCACTTTCCCCGCTCTAGCGGACTGCATGAACACAAGTTGTACGTTCGAGCATGGAGTTCCCCGCTCGAGCGTGAGTCCAAATTTTGGAAATTCCAAATTGAACCTTCAAGCTCGAAATCAACTTTAAATGTACCAAAAACGATCCTTTTGGGCTAATTTTCTGGAAAACACTTGTAAACTCATAGTATAACATGTTTCAAAGATCAATTTGAGAAATCAAAGCTCAAAGGTAGTTCAATTGAGCACAATTTTCATCCAAAGTTCAAAACATAATTTAAATGTGACATGCAAGTGCTCAACCAAATTCAAAGCTTCAATGCAAGCTCAATTGAGTCTAAACTTCAAAAAATATGATGAATTCATGTACTAGAACTATAATATGAACATGCATGTAACAATTTCCATGAACATAACCTCAAAACTTCCATATAGGACATGCATGCATGGATTAAGCTTCAATTCAACATGTTAGAACCAATTCTAGACTTAGATCACTTATGACTCATGAGCCATGCAAGAATCAGCTCAAATACACAAACAAGAAGATAAATTCTCTACCTTAAGTCTTGAATCTCAAGTGTAGAAGCTCAATAATGCAAGATTTCTTCAATATCTCTAAATTTCCAAGCAAAACAAGATGAAATCAAGCTTTCTCCTACTCTCTCTCTCTCTAGTCGGTTTGTCTCTCAAAATGGTTGAGCAAAAGGTATGTCTAAGTGTACTCAAGCCTCAAGGTGTTGAAGAAAGTGGCCCACTAAGCATGGCAATTTGGTGAATAAGTCTAACTCTTGTAAATTAGCATTATTTAATCCAAATTAATCATACCAATTCAATTTTCAATTAAATATACTATAAAATCACATAAATTCTAATTAGAATAAAACATTAATCGGTTCCGGATTCGGCTGCCGATAAGGCCTTCAATTTGCAGTTTAAACGTAATACACGAACAGATAATTTAGCAGTCAAACAGATAGACATGCATTTAAACTAATACACTCAATCAATCAGTTCAGAATTTCAGTCAATCAGTCAGTTAACATGCTTAATCATTGATTAGCACTAATCAGTGGTGAGGGTTGTCACAAAAATAGTATGGTAAAATAACATGTGCTATTTTAGCACATGTTAAACACCTCTTAGGCCATTTCCAACAGTGCATCAAACCTTGCATCAGATTTGAAATTTGATGAAAAACTCACTTTTTCTCACTCCAATAATTTCACCAAATTGATATCAAAATGAGAATTCACTAAAAGTTTCACCAAAATGAGAATGCGCTGGGTCTTTCACCAAAACACTATTTATTACCATTGTATTTTTCCAACCGGATGACCAATTTTCGCAAAATTTTGTATAGATTTTACACTAGGAGGTCAACTAACCGGACGACACCGGGGTCGACCCCCCGGATGACTCTGACCTTTTTCTTCTGGTGTCATAGTGATAGCCTCCAAAGAAACCTTTGGTTGCATCAGCTCTAAGGTACAACATCAGCCATGGATACAATTTTGAGGTTTGGACTTTATGACTAAAAACCTAACTTCCAACACCCACTTTCCTCTCCCAAACAACCTCAAAATAAGAAATCCCACTGATTCCACCTTTAATATCAGAATCCAAATCATAGGTACCACGAAAACCCCCAATCATTGTACCATTACTTGATAAACTCGTGGGTTGATGATACAAGAGCTTTTTGGCTTAAACCAAGGAATGGTTTCCCCACACCAAGTTTGTTATCTGCCTCTGTTACTTTGTGATTTAGGGTTGGTTTGGGATGTCCTAAAAAAGTGCACTTTTTGACTTATTGGTGGGTTTGGGTTGGGTTTGATGTGATGTGTTAGAGAGGTGATGTGATTTAAATAAGATGATGTGACTTAAATAAGATAGTGACTTTTTGACTTTTTGGCTTATTTAGTACATGCCAAACAATCCCTTAGAGAATAATCTGCTTCTTTACAACATAGAACCAGAACATATTAGAGAAAAAAAAAACAAGTTAGAGGATATAAAAAAAGTAATTCGGAAAAATCAGGGAAATAGAGGAATTGAACCTATATGTGTTGTGGGATGCATTTAATTACAATAATAAAAGAAACAGATCAGTGAAATAAAGATATCAGCCATGAAAATTAAAAGGAGGGGGCAGATATCAGATCAGATCAGAGAAGCTAACTCATCAGATCCCTTCTCCTCAGAATTAGATAGCAACATCAAGATAGAATGCAAATC